AAGAGACAAATTGTCTAAATGTTGTTTAAGTTCATTAATCTTTAACTGAGAGTTTTAACTTAATGCTGCAATTTAAACCAAATAATTATTTCACAATATGCAAGAAAAGAAACTGTCCTCACCTAGTTAAAGAGACACATTTCTCTACTATTTTACTCACAATATAGAGTTAAAATAAATACTTATTTTACTTTAGAATAATTTAAATTCTTGTTTCAAATTGCATGAACAAAATTTCTGATCTGATGATGAATTTTATTAAACATCACAATAAATTCTGCTAGAAACATTTAGTGTGAACAGAACAATATCCTCAATAATTATAATAAAGATTTGCCTTAATACAGGAGTCAGATCACTTCCATCTCAGGATACATTCTGGGAAATAGTTCTCACTCCTGTGTTTTTGTTATTTACATTTTTTAAAGTGCTAACATAAAAACTAGTTTATTCAACTCTTGTAGTTTTTACAAAATAAATAAAAAGTTAGCACAACTTACTACTGTAAGTTTATCTTTCACAAACTCATTTTTAGGTTCAAAAGTAAAACTCACTACATTTATTTGACTTAAAGCGTAGAAGACAGCAGACAAAACTAAATGCAGCTCAAATGTTTTACAGTGTAGAAGAAAATACTCTGACTTCCTCTGGTAATTGATAGATTTTCCTCAAATGAGTGCATGAATTGTTTGTTCTGCAGGTGTAAACGCTGGACAGATGGATATTCTGCTCAGTCAAGTGACTAAACTAGAATTAGATCCACATGTTTCAGTTTTTGAAACAATGCCCATCACATGACCTGACATTTCAGATTTGAACTCTCAGAATGTTCCCAGGCCTTTGGGAAAAGAATCAGATCCACAGCCTTTTTTTACGGGAATCTTGCTGGAGTATTTGCGTGGAAAGTTTAATGTTGTTTTCCTCTTCCAGTTCAGCAAATCCAACATGTTTAATTTTTTAATGGTAGGTAGGACAGAAATAGCTTTGTTTCAGCTTGATTACCCAACAGCTTACTGACATTAGTGCACAAATGGTTGACATGGAGACCTGGTGATGCCAAAATGCATCTATGTGCAACAGTTTTCTAGAGGGGTGCCAATATGTATTTTAATGTCTGTATTTGACATTATATTAATCAAGAACTTTAGCATTTGTTTCATCCAAAAAACCTGACTGAGAATTGTTTTATCTCTGCAGCAGCAATGCAGAAGTACTGTCAACAAACTCACCAGCTACTGAGGGAATAAAAAGGTAAAATCATAAATATACCAAACTCCTCACACAATAAAATGTAGCTCAGCTAAAAAATAAAAATCTGTTTTCCCTGCAGGCCTGAGCTTCTAATAGAGAGGAGCGTCTCCAGGGAGCTTTCTGCAGAGAAACGGGCAAATAAACCTGAGCGGAGAATCGATGTTCCTCCAGAAACAACAAATAAGTTTCTTTCCAAGAGACGATCAGTTGCTCTGATGGAGAGTTTTGAAGAAGAGGATAGCAAAACAGACTATGTCAGTCCGAGAGAGCACAGCTCGACTTCCAGGGTGAGTCTCTGATCCTTTAATGATAAGTATTTGGTAAAACTGATCACATTATCAATCATTTAATATTTAAAAATCATATAATCAGATGGACAAAAAGAGGAAATTTTGGTATTTTAAGGACGAAAATGACAATAATTAATGTAAGTAACAAAAACCAGACACACAAAAACCAGGTGTGTGTCTGGTGAATTTTTGGTTAAAACATGTTTGTTCTTCATTCAGTGGGTAGAAAATTAAAATTACTCAAGTATAGCATAGAAAAAAATACTCCTAAAAGTAAATTTTTCCAAAAACGTTACTCAAGTAAATGCAACTCAGTAAATGTAACTAGTTACTACCCAACTCTGCTTGAATGCTGATTCTGTTCTGCTTTTCTCAGGAGAAAAGACCTTTAATCCTGAAGGTGCCGCACCGGGGCAACTTCAGCTCTGTGAGCGACATCATGAAGAAGCTGAAGCAGGGAACGCCGGCGATGCTGAGGAAAGGAATGAACTCCACCATGTCGGACCGGACCCAGTCCATGATGGACCTGAGCGAGAACAATCACAGCGACAGGGAGGCACCAGTGCCTCGCTTCCTGGGCAACGTGAGAGATTTATCTGCAGATACTCCCCATGTTTACTGCAGCTGATGGAGAGAACAGAACAGAACAATGAAGTCGAAAGCCATAAAGTTACAATAATAACAATAATACATGTCATTAAAATAATCATTTTAAAGTGTTACAATACAGCAAAACATTTAAAATGACTCATAACAAAAATGGACATTGCCTGGTGATATTTCTCATCTATTTTTTTATTATTTTATTGTATAGCTTTTTAATGTTCCAGACATTCTGAATAGCGATGTCTTCGTTGTCTTCATGCTGATTTTCAACATCTCTATATCTAGATGCAAAAACATCACCTGCAATCTGGTTCGGGTTCACTAAACCTCATTTGTTCTGCATACTAATGAAGGCAAACATGCTAAATTGCATGTTTGCTCTGAAATCCTGGTTTGCACATGAAATCAAGTTTGCCCCAATTTTTATACCCACAAGCCTTTTAAAGATCAGGCCCTAAACTTCAGGTGGTGCTGCTTTAAAAAGTGGAAATATTGAAGCAGAGCAGCAAGATTGAAGCATGAAAATGATCCAAAGTACTTCTGAAGAGAAAACTGAAGAAGTACCTCAAAAAAAAAAAGAGAGAAGGGGTTGGCTGACTTTATTTCAGCAGAACTTTGTGTTGATGAGACGAAAGTAAAAATGACACGTCGTTTACCAGCATCATATAGCTGGGAATGTTTGTTTAGAAATGAGAGAAGCATTGCTAAAGATAATAAAACAATGTATGAGGAAGAATCATTTTAAAATACATTCTTTATCTGCTTTTATTTGTGGTATTATAACATTTGCATTTCAAAAAATATTTAAGCCTTTCCCAATAATCAACGTTACACAATCAAACCTTTCTTATAATTGCTGACCGGCTTTTTTTCATGTTTCTACTGGTATTTACTTATTTATCTTTAGTGATGAGCTTTGAGGTTGGAAGGCCTCTTTACCATAACACTAATATTTAAAGCCCTCTACAGTTTCCTTTGAGTGCACAAACATGTGAACTAACAGATTTATCACCTTGAGGAGTAACTAATATTTCTTTTCTTTTTCTGTTTGCTCGTTTTCCAGCTCAACTCGGATCAAATGACACCTGCATTAGCGCTGATGCAGAGGAGGAACGATGGAGTGAAAAACGCTCTAAATCGACCTCCAGCAAACTTTATGCCCACTGAGCGACCGCGCAGCTCCACCTTAAACTCCACCTTTAGCCCCGGCTTTTACCTGAGAAAGCTGAAGTCAGACAAAGAAAAACCCGCAGTATGACGAAGGACAGGCAGAGACTTTACAGTGTTATTAATGGTGACACACAGAAGGCCTCATTGTGCAAAATAAACACCCAGACGCTTTATTTGCTTGAATGTTACTAAAAATAAATTAAATATTAATGCTGCTCAGGACAGTGTGTAGTTTTATTTTTGTTATTTGACAAAATCTGATGTATTTATTTTATTGTATTTAACATTTTTTCCCTACAACTAAGTGATTTTAATGTGTCTTACAGGGATTTCATGTGATAGATCAACAAATTATTGTATCGTTGTGAAGTGGAAAATAAATAAGAGATGAGTCTAGTGTTTTCAATTTGCAATACATGAACATTTGGGATTTGAACATGACAAATATGCAAATATGCTGAATTAAATACACTATATTGCCTCATCTGGCTTCACACTGAGGTGGGAATGAGTTACAGTCTTGATCCATTCCTCATATGAAGAAGTTAACAGGAGAACCTGCTAACTTCTATGAGAATGTGCATAAGGGATCTCCATGTTGAGATTTTTCACTGTACCTCCAAAAGAATACATTTATAAGGTCAGACACTAATGTTGGACAAAAAGGTCTGGCTCACAGTTTTATTCTTAAATCTTCCCAAAGTTTTCAGGTGGAGGACAAACCATAAACCCTTCCAAACCAAACTTTACACTTCACACAGTGCAGTCAGAAACGTATGCTCGCATTAAACTGAGGAGTAATTAGTAGGGAAAACATTTCCTAACTGGACTTACTGCACAGGTGGAAACCTATACTAGAAATTCATGAGATTCTGAAGTTGTACCATTCTTCCACAGACATTTACAAAAGCAGTCTGTATGACGAGATATAGGATTTCATAGACCGGATGGTTAAAACATCTGAATTTGAAAATTTGAAGGGATGAGTATTTGAAATGGATAAGAAAACAAATCAGATTTAAATCTGCAGGCAAAAATATATACTAAAAAATATATATACTACCTCTGTTAAAGGCCCATGCAGATCAACCACATCCCACAAGAACTACAGGTTTGGAAATGTTCAGATTTTTTCCAACTGGCACAAATCTTTGAGGACAAAACTTTAAATGTTCTTTAAGGGCAGTCGAAGGACCATTTGTTTATAAAGTCTTCATAATTTATTTTATTTGTTGTTTCTATTGTTCTATTTCTACGTAGAAAACACAGATTGTTGATTTATTGGAGGAATTTTTAGCGGTAATCTCAGGCCAGGCCAGCAGGTGGCGGTGTTTTCTGATGCAAACCGAAGAATAAGACAACACGGAAACACATGGTAGCCAGCGTTGGGGATCAAACCTTTGGAGCTCTACTGGATGTTTGAGCCTATTTTCTTTTAATCCCAGAAATATTATCTCTGTTTGACAGAAAAACACACCGGCTTGTTTTTTTATTTTTATTTTTATTTAAGTTCAGCCCGGATCGCTGACATCATGGTTCGAGTATTACGGTGAGTTTTTCTAAAGTTGTCTCAGTCTTTCTGCGTTTCAGAAGAGGTTTTAGTTTAGTTTTTTTTTTTTTTGTTTGTTTTGTGACCAGACAAGCAATAAAGTCTGACTACTGGGAGGAAACTGGCCGAAATCGAGCAGAAGAGCTGTGGTTTGTGACTGCAGGAGGTCTGAGCTTTAGCATCTTTGTGTTTTTGCTGTGCAGAGCCAAAAAACAGAAGAGGCCCAAAAATGTGGAGCAGTTTGATGAAGATGATCCCAAAGCCTACGGAAACATGCCAGTTCCTGACAAGGTAGGCGATGCATCGTTAATGATCAATTTTGAGGTGCAAAATTCTGAATATCTATCTTATTTATTTACAGTGGTGGACAGAGTATCTAAAAATTGTGCTCAAGTAGAAGTAGCTCTGCTTCAACATATTTATACTCAAGTAAAAGTAAAAAGTAGCCATCCAAGAAGTTGCTCATGTAAGAGTAAAAATGTATTTGGTAAAACTGTATAACTGTTTAAAAAGTACATAATCAGATGGACCAAAATATGAAATTAATTGGAAATGTTGGCATTATAAGGACGTAAATGACAATAATTATATGTAACAAAAAATAACTAAATTAGGCAAAAGAAAATTTTTCCAAATTAGTTTATTTCAATAGAAAACTTTTGAAACTTTAATAAAACTGCAGGTGTGTGTCTGTGGTGAATTGTTAAGTTAAAACATGTGCTTGTTTTTCATTCAGTGGGTAGAAAATTCAGAAATTTTACTCAAGAGTAGAGATATTTTATAATAAAATACTCAAGTAAAAGTAAAAAGTACAGCATAGTAAAAATCTTCCTAAAAGTAATTTTTTTCAAATGTTACTCAAGTTAATGTAATTGAGTAAATGTAACTACTGGCTACCCAACTGTGTTTATTAATCTCCACACTGCAACTGGAAGACATTTTAAATTTCCAAAATAAAACACAATAACCAAAAACGATAAATAAATAGGAAATAAAAACGAGACAAACCGAAACATGAATAAAAAGGATTATGAAGTCTATCAAGAAATATTAATCATCAGAATCAAAATGATGGAGCTCATTTAAATTTCTTCTGCGATCAACTGATTAATTACTTAATTCAACAGCCTCACTGACCAAAGATTTTCTCTCAAGTGATTAAATTCTTGACGGCAGCAGAGGAAAATCTTTGTCACCATTTTCTTCTGCTTTATTTTACAGAGGTCATCAGAGTTTTATAAGGACAAGATCGATGAGTTTCATGATGAGAAGATCGCTGTAAGCTCACTCTGGTGCTTCTACCTGTTGGTGAATCATGTTGGAGCTTTTTTTTTCTTACCGCATCTTTTGTCGCGCTGCAGAAACTTCTCGCTCATGGAGTTCAGATGGAGAGTGACGTGGAGGAGCTAGACGATGAGGTTTTGATTTATGAGTTTGTTCTGGTTTTTAGTTTTGATGATAAATGCACCCCAAACTAAAAGTTGCCTGAATGTCCCAGGAGGAGGTGATGGCTCTGGACGAGTCGGAGTCAGAGGAAGAGGAGCAAGAGGAGGCAGAGGAGGAGGGGACGGATATGGAGAGTGATCTGGAGGAGAAAAAGGAAGAAGGTAAAGATTTAAGGAAGGTGTTTTAAGTTGGATTTTCTTTTATTTATCGTTCTTTCTAAGCTGTTTTTACTATCCTCAGATCTTCCCAGTGAGATGGCGTGGGGCACCAAGAAGAAAATGTTCTACAACACGGATTATGTCGTCACTAGTAAATTTTGTTATTTCCAGTGACATTAATGGGCCGATTTGTGACGTTTCGGTGCAGATTTAGGATTTTTGGTCGTGTTATTGTAGAGGGGAGACCACAGGAAGAGTTGGACGCTGAGGAACAGGAGGAGGAGGAAGAAGCAAAAAATATCCAGAAACGTTTAGCCGAAAATCTGAGTGAGGAGGATTACGATTTAAACTTTCTCCAGGTAAAAATGACCCCCCACCCCTCATAAACAGTCGATCCCATTCTGAATGAGGTTTCTTACTGAGATTTTATCCTCAAAGGAGTTTGCAGTGGAGGAGAAGGATGAAGACAAACCTGTGGAGAAACAGGAGAAAATTGTGAAAGATTTGAAGCAGATGTCTCTGAAGGAAAAGATGAAACTTTTAAAGAAAGAATCACCGGAGCTGCTGGAGCTCATCCAGGACTTCAAGGCAAAGGTACGACTTATAACCCCTTACCTGAAACCTCATGACCCTTCTATCCCCCTACGTCATCTCGTGTGTTTGACATCTTTGTGTTTGCAGCTCACTGAACTGAAGGATGAGCTGGAGCCGATGATGCAGATGGTCAAAAACGGGAAGATCCCTGCAGGACAGGTCAGAACCAGAATCACCAGAACCTGTTTTACAACTTGTTGAAGTAAAAAGTTTAGATCCAGTGAGATCAGGGCTTCCCAAACTTTTCTATGCCACCTCCACCTAACAGCGTTCGCTTCTGGGCCAGGACTCGCTTCACAAACTCATGATGCTGCAAAATATTTAAAGAAACATCAACTTTTAGATTTTTTTTCTCACACTTTTATTCCCTATTCAGTAATTATTATATTTATTTCACATAAATTCTGTCTCATATCTTCTGATTTTAGTGAACCAGAAGTTCGTCCTCCACAGCAGAACTGCTGCACGGTTCCTTCGCTCTTTGTCTCGACAGAAGCTCTTAAATTGTTCACTGCTGTTCTTGTTTCAGGAGCAAAACAGCCTGATAAATCTGACCGTGAAAAGTAGATTAGGTTTTATGCTAAAAAAAATTAAATATTGATAAATTATTTATTTATTTATTTATTTTTTCTTAATCTTTCCTCAACCTTTCTGAGCTTCCCCTTGGTGAAGAGAGAAACACAGAGTCGGATCACTTTTTCAGTGAATATTGCTCTGGAATCCAACAAAACACACCAATTCTCTTCACCTGATGTCTGTAGTGGGGCTTTGCTGGGAGAGATGTATTCCCGCACAATGTGTTTTAAGTTTGTTGTCGATTAAAAGCTCAGTTTGTGTGAAACTGATGAGTTTTTACTTGTTTTCCCAAAGTGGGCGGACTACCTGGAGACAAAACAGCAGCTTTACCTCAAGTGAGTCCTGATTAGATTGTCTCCACGTGTTGAGAGGAAACGCTCTGTGGTTAACGCGCTTTTTCTGCTGCAGCTACTGCACCAACATCAGCTTCTACTTGGTGCTGAAAGCAAAACGGATCCCTGCACACAACCACCCTGTGATCGAACGGCTGCTCACCTACAGAAACGTAAGTCCACCTGCTGACGGTGACGCATCAGGCAGCAAACGTCACATTTTGTCAAATGCCATCATCCAGAAAACATGCATAACATATATTTATTGATCAATATTGACTCCACTTACTACCAATCAAAAGCAACTCCAAACAGGTGTGCTGTTTGGAGCTGAACTCAGTGTTTTGCAGTTTTCTAGAAGTTTGTTCCAGATTTGTGGTGCATAGAAGCTGAATGCTGGTTCTACATGCTTGGTTCTGGTTCTGGTGAAGCAGAGCAGAGCAGAACCAGAAGACCTGAGTGGTTAATCCATTGATAACAAACACAATGTCAGAAAAATGTCCGAGCTTTGGGTGTAAAAGCGTTTGAGTAAACATTAAATTCTGGAGGGTTTTCTTTCAGCCTACTTCATGTTGTCGAACAGGTTCTATTCAAGTGTTTTATTTACTTATTATTATTATTGCAGCTCATCAATGAACTGAGTGCAGTAGATGCTCATCTGGCTCCAGAGTTTCGCAAACTTCTAGCTGAAGATGAGAAAGATGATGAAAGCTCAAAGAGAAAAACAGAGGGCAAGAAGACCAAAGTACCAAAACAAAAAGTAAGTCATATTTCTGCTTTTTCAGATTAATCGGTTATGAAAACTGTCGCTGATGTTAAAAGTCAGCATGTGGTTAGATGCAGGACTCTGGAGAAACTCCACCTGAGAACAGCGACTCGGACTCGGACTTGGACGAAGAGGCAGCTCTGCGTTTCTACAAAGAAGTGGAGGAACGGGTGAAACTGAAGAGGAAGAGCAAAAACCCAGAAGCGTGAGTGTGGTGTGAACCTTCAGTCTGCTGGTTATTATGAGACGGAAATGTAAGAAAACTTACATTTGATGCAGGCTGGAGGAAAATGATGATGATGAGGGGGATGAAGAGCTGGATCAAGATGCCAAAAGAGGAATCACTTATCAGGTACTGAAGCATTTCTATACATCAGATGAAAAGTTCAGTAGTTATTCCCACATCTCACCTCAAACATCTGGATGATGAGAAGCAGAAAAGAAGAATATATCTGTACATTTCACATTTAGACGCTTACCTCAGTCTCTTCTTAAAAACATGGAAATCTTAAAAACTTCCAACAATTTTGCTTAGTGTCTCATAATCTAGTCCAGATTTAATACATTTGAAATAAAGTTAATCCAGAGGCTGAATAAAAGCACAGAGGTAGTAATTTAATGTAGTGCAGTGTTTGTGAACATAAAACTTCTCTCTAAATGTTTTGTATTTGGATGTACAATAAATTATTAAAACTAGTGGATAAATCTAGAAACTTGAGTCTGGAAAAGTTTAATTTACCCCCAACTAGATGATCCTTGAACAGGCTCATGGATATTATGACAAATTTTTAATTACGTTCACTTCTTCTTGCTCCTTTTCAAAAAGAAAAGTAAACTAGTTAGTTTGTTCTTGGTTATGGATGCACATGTTTTCTCAGTTGATTAGTTTTCTTGTTTTTAAAAACGTGTTTGAAATAAATAAATCAGATCAGTCCCTAGAACATGTTCAGGTTCTGGAGTTTCTTTAGACCGGACACTTCTTTATTTCACAACTTTCCCACTTTTTTTTTAGGCACCACATATTGTCACTGTAAAATCCACTCAGAAAAAAAGGAACAAAAATCCAAAGAACATATTAGAAATCCTGTTAAAAACTCTAATATTGTTTTATGGTAGAAATCAGTTTCTTTTGATATAAAACTTGAGAAACCTTAACTAAAACTGCAGGTGTGTGTCTGGTGAAATTTTGGTTAAAACCTGTTTGTTCTTCATTCAGAGACGTTAATTATAGTGGATAAAGAATCCAGAAATTTTACTCCAAGAAAGATTAGAAAAAAATTACTTGAGTAAAAAGTACAGCACAGTAAAAATACTTCTAATAGTACATATTTTAAAAAAAATCTACTAAAGAAAATGTAACCATTTACTCCCCACCTCTGCTTAGAAACTTATATTTTAGATAAACATTTTTTTAAATCTTCTGGCTCTTGCGTCTCACTAATAAATGATTCAAAGTGAAACAGCAACGTTTTTTAATGCTGCGGTTTTATTTGCAAATCGTCTCAAGCGTCAGTGACAACACAGCAGATCAAATATCTCTCATGCATCATCATGTTTCTACCCCAATCCCAGTTCAGTTCTCAGTGTTTTCTGCTCTGGTGCCTCCACAGATGGCCAAGAACAAGGGGCTGACGCCCAAGAGGAAGAAGATCGACCGGAACCCCAGAGTCAAGCACAGAGAAAAGTTCAGACGGGCCAAAATCCGCAGGAGGGGACAGGTTTGTATCGCATGCGGCGCTGAAGGAATCATGTCAGACTGTCATCCGTACGGTTTTTCTAACCTGCGTTTGTTCTCACCAGGTGCAAAGTGTCCGTAAGGAGGAGACGCGGTACGGAGGCGAAGCGTCTGGGATTCGGGCCGGTGTCAAAAAGAGCACCAAGCTCAAGTAGCCAGCAGCGAGTCCAGAGAGTTGAGTTGTTATTGGTCAATAATCCTGAAATCACACGTTTTTCTGATGACATTAATAAACACTCAAACAACCTTAACGATAATCAGCTTGATTTGTTCGTATTCGTAGAGGAAACTCTTCACGAATTAAACCCGAACGGCAGACTGGGTCAGGGTCATTTCCGTCCCGCGCCTTGCTGAGTTATAAACCTATTGTGCGCCGTCGTCAGGTTGCTCACTATCCGCTCCTCGATCTCCACGCCCTTCTCCACGTCGCCCTCGGTGACGACCAGCTCATCCCGGGACTCCGGGGTCACGACCACCACGTAACCGCGCCGCGAGTCCAGCACATTGGCCACCACCGCCTGGTGCCTGTAGGTGTCCAGAGCGCGCCGGGCCCTGTCCAGCAGGATGGTCGGGTCCGTCTCCAGCTTGAAGGATGTGACGAACGCCTGAGGCGCCCAGTCCTTAACGAGCGGCGACAGGATCTTAGGAACCATCTTCATGCTGAGCTGATGGAGAAACAAAAAAGATTGTATAAATAACGACATGCGATGGGTTTAGACTCTAGTCCTACTGGCTAAATATTACAACCCACACTGCAGCATGTCCAGAGACATAACTTCTTTAATTTATTTATTTTATTTCACGTACCTGAAGAGGTCCGTTAGAAGACTGGATTTTGTGTTCAGGCATCTCGGACGCCGGGATGTAGAAGTCAGAGACGGCTGCAGCCAGGTAGAACATGGCCTTTGACCCTGATTGAAGATGAAACATTTGTAAACAAGGTTTAAGCACATGCAAACAGAATCGATAGCTTTAAGCTGTAAAATGCAAGGCTCTTAAAGATGTGGAGAAAGGCTCATGAAATCATTATTTGCAGCATCGTAGTTTTACATTGAAAAATGTAGAAAAATCCAACCTTTAATTTGAACACTTTTTAATTTGGAAAATCTCAATAAGGACATATTTTGTAAACTCCTTAGTATTTCAATAATAAAGAGAATAAAACCTATTTTATTTATTAAGATTTTTAATTCTTAAAAAATTGAAATTTCATCTTTTGCGTAAAAATGTACTACGACAAAGGATTATTTCTCTTTATAAAAGGTATAACTAGTAGTATGCCATTTAAGCCAGACAGCAGAGTTTACCCAGAAAACAGCTGATCCTGGTCGTTAAGGTAATCCACCAATGGCCTTCCATGTTTTTGTGTTTAATCTTAGAAATTGACAGGAAATTCGAAAATATGACTCAGTATTTATGTTATTGGAAGACATTATTGACAATACTTGGACAGCAACTGTAGCCATAAAAGGCAAACCCAGTAAAATACAATTAAAATAATTAATCCTAAATAATCCTACATTTTGTGGATTTTTTTTTTTTTTTTGCTGGTTGTGATCTGTTATTTTTCTAAAGGAATGCAGTACAAACAAAGAAAACTATGATTAGATGAAAAAGACCATAATTGTTGTGACTGTGTAAAATAATCTGTGAACATTTTCCCTCCACATATTGCTGCCTGAATAAATGTACCACTCTGGACCAAAAACAACCAATCAGAGCCAGGAGGAGGGTCTTAACGCTGTCAATCAACATTATGTAATCGCTGCTAAATGTGCTAACGCGAGAGAAACAACCCACTGTTACAGGAAAACTGTTTATCTGCTGTCATCACTGATGGCGGGGAGAAGCTTGAGCAGCACTACATGAGATTGTGATTGGCAGCACTAAGACCCGCCTCCTCGCTCTGATTGGTTGTTTCTAGGTAGAACTGGGAGAAGGTAGAGGAGCTCAGATTTTTCAGATAACTTACCGTCACGACATAGTGACAGTTTCAACAAATATGTACAAGAATTTTTTTTTTTTATAAAATTCTGCAGCTTTAAGGTGCAAGATGGTGCAACTAATTATTTAGTACCTATAGAGCTGAGCGCCTGTGCCGCTGCTTTCAGTAAATGCAGATACTCCGAAAGAGTGTTGAACTCGATGGGTAGAAGAAGTCCTCCGTCTTTCACTTCGTTGTACCTCTTCAGCACTCTGGCGATGTTTGGAAGCACCAGCTGGTCGACCAGCACCTCCCCCGCTCCCTCACCGTCTCCCGCCCTGAGCTGCAGGGCGTCCAGCATGTTGATGGTGGAGAACAGGCGTGTGTAGGGGTAGAGAGAGCGGTGCCTGTGCAGGAAAATGACGGCGTAGCCCGACTCGATGAAGTATTCCGCCGAGGAGGCTCCTCGCCTGCCGCTGCTGAAGTTATCCAGGAAGCGGACGGTGCGCGACTCCAGGGGGACTTTGGTGCCGCCTGACGTGATGAGGACCACTCTGCGGCCCGCTTTGGCGTGACGGGCGGCGAAAGCAGCCATCTTCTCCTTGACCTCCTCGACGTGGGAGGGAACGGCAAATTCTTCAGCCAGCTTTCCGTCAATGGACGATATTCTGGGTTCGGCCATTATCTGATAAGAGAGAAGAGGCATCAAGAGAGAAGTTTGGCTGCTTGTGTCTGATTAGTGCTTTTTATTATGGATTTGACCTGGGACAACAGAATGAAACATAAATAGGCCGGCACAACATTATGAAGTTGTGATGTTATAGCTAAATATGAGGTGTGATCTAATTATAATTTCAGTCTTAGAATTCTGACTTTTTTAAAAAAAAAAATCATTAAATTTTAATCTCAGAATTCCAATTGATTTTTTTTAACAAATGTGGGGGGGGGGTTTGCTAAAAATTTGGACTTTAATTTTATAATTTACTTTTTTATTCTCCTAATTCTTTTTTCGTTCTGACTTTCTTCAGAACTGACTTTTTATTTATTTTATAATTTAACTTTTTTTGTCATAATTCTGATTTTTGTTTCCTTAAATTTCTTATTTTAATCTCAGCATTCAAATTATTTTTCTCCAGAATTGACTTTTATTTTTTGAAACTTGAATTTTTTGTATTCTGACTTTAATTTTAGAATTTACTTTTTTTCCCCCCTCAGAATTCTTATTTTTCCTTTCTCAACATTCATTGATTCAGACCAAAAATTACAATAAGGTCTGGCATCTTTGAATCCATGCACACATTACTGTCCGAGCCCTGTCTACAATGCTACGATTTTGTTTAAAATCAAAATCATTGCAGCAAATAAGTCAGGAATCTTTGAAGAAACACACATTTAAACCACAAATATAAAAACAATTGCACGTTTCATCTGTAAACCAGAACTTAAAGACGGACGACGCAAAATATGGAGCTCAGAGGGTCACACGGTCAAAGTTAGATTAATATACCGATGAGTGGAGAAGCGAATTCTCTCGCAGCTAAAATCAAATATTAACTGTTTTTGCCCGTCTTAACTGGTAAACTCTTTAGATTGGACTGTCAACAACGAGACGCCAGAAATTACTACATTTTCCTCTGATTTGTACGTAACTGCGACACAATGAAACAACTACACCAAAGTAGAAATGAAGTATGTCATGCACACCGATGAAGATGTTTCTCCTGTCACTTCAGGGATGTTTTCGTTCCTCCTCCACAACTTGATTTTACTTCCTGAAATCAACTCAGCTTTGAGACTCTACGGTTTCTAAAAATACAAAGCGGGGCCGTCAGCGCCCCGCAGTGGCTGGAAACGGTACTGCCACTGCATGTTTCATCTTAACTGTCAACATTAGCCGAAGTAAGTAGGCAGAAATTAAACTCAAATAAAAGTAGCACTGCTTTAATTTGTTTTAACTCAAGTATATGACAATATTAGTAATATAAAAAATATTATTTTAATAATCTTTTAACAATTGTTTACTTAAAAGCCCTGCTAGTCTAGGTCTAGAATTTGCAATGCTGGTGCATTGCAAATTAGTCATGGCTATAAATGTTAATGTACAAACATGTTAATTGTTCCTATCATATAATTAAATAAATAAAATAATATTAAAATAAAAGTAGAAAAATATTCAGTAAAAACTCTATCAAAGTACTGAGAAATAATTTGATTATATCTTATTTAATTTGTGAAAATGGCCAGGAGTCAAATCCAGGACTTATGAGGCAATCAGGCAGACAAACAAAATATACCTGCTTAAACAGTCAGCAAGGTTTGATATTTAGACCAGAAAAAGCCTGTAGCTGTCACTGGAAAATTCAACTGCGCATAAATAACATCAGCTCAGACATAAAATAGAAAAACTGTTTAATTTTCCATCATTCCACAACATTACTTCAAGTCTTTCCAGGTATCAACCATTGTGGAGTCTCACCTGACACCATCTTTAATTTCTCAGGAAAAGGTATCAGAAAATGATGGTCTAACATTAAGATTTTTGATTATTATTATTTTAAATTCACATGTATTAACACGGTTACGGCACTTATATTCTTTCTATATTTCCCTTTTTACTGAACATGAATCACCAAAAAACATCACAAAAAGATACATGAGGGACAGGCTGTGCTCAAGATAATATATTTAGTTCAACTGAATTAGTTAAATAGTTTTTATTCATAGTTATGAAAGTAGTGAGCAAAATCAACAGTTAACCCACTCAAACGTCAGATCAGTATGAGAATAATTTAAACTGTAGAGGATGGAGAAATGTTCTCCCTCTTCTTAAAACGTTCCTCTTTATAAAAGCTCCTTATGAGGATCCTTTCACACAACTCACATTGTCCCTTCTTGGAAAACCTCTTGTAACAATGTTGAATACAATTATACACAAGCAACAAAAAAACAAAAAAAAATAAATTCATGGTTTTCTATTAAAACCTCACAATGCAGCATTTTCTGCTGGGCCTGTGTGCAGGTGTGCCATGCTGTGTTCGTCTGTGTTTTACAACAGAATCGTTGATAAACTGCATTTTATTTTGTTTTTCTTATTTGTTTTATAAATTGCATAAAGACCTTCTCTCACTTTCCACACACACCAAGAGTTTTTAAGGTGTGATATAAACTGTAAATGCAGTTTGAAGTAATTTTGATGCAAAAGCCAAAAGGAAATATCACATAAATTTACTGTCATAAAGCCCTCATAAAACAATATTATTAAGAGCTTGAGCTTTGCTCTTAATAATATTATCATGAGTTATTTATGTTAATTAAATAATACTAACTTTATTATGGAAGTTATTAAATATTAATATGTGCTATTCACTATTGACCAACAAGTGGCGCTGTTGTACAGTAAAATAGCCAATTTTAGAAGGTAATGTGGTTTTTATCTTTCTGAGACGGCAGTGATTGACCAGATTGGTTTTGTTTGAATTATTTTCAAGCTAAATTTTAATTTTTGCACTTCCCTTTATAAACTGTGCTTGCTTCACCCTTGACAGAGGCCCCAATATTGCGGTGGCGGTGGTGACATAGCTTTGCACTAAATACAAAGAACCACTAAATTTGCAAAAGATGCCCAAGCATTAAAATATTCAGGTTAGGAGACAGCTATTGGATTTAAAATAATAATAATAATAATAATAATAATAATAATAATAATAATAATAATAATAATAATAATAATAATGTAAAATATGAACATAAAACTGTTAGTCAAATAAAAACTGTGAAAATAAATAAATTATATAGACAGAACATTGCTCCTCAGGCATGTGAAAATGTGCTCACATTATCACATGTTGTATCATATTTGCAGAGAAAGGTTGCAACACCAACTCACATAAACACATTAATATAAGTTTTTAATGTAAAGCTTTCAGTTTCCTCTTTGATGAAAAGAACATTGTGGCCAACTCCAGCTTGTATCTGATAACTTGGCCACTTAGAGCAATCTCAACATGTTTGGATGGAAATCTGCACACTGGAAGTGCAGCAGATGATCTGGGAGATAAATAACTAGAAACTATCTGACATCCATATTGTATGAGCTCTTTTATAATGTTTTTCTGTATGGATACAAATTAAATTGCATGCTGAGGTTAGATGAAAATAGAAACTCATTAGCGAAGCAGACATATTCAAAGTTTATAAAATCCTACATAATACAAACTAAGCAGATAACATTTATTTTGGAAAACTATGCCTGACATTGCCCAGCAATAAACAATAACTCCCATGTTATGTCATAACAGAGTTGAATCAAGGACAACGTGATAAGGAACTTTGATCCTCTGAGTACGGGCCAGACACTTAGTGACATAGAGATTGTGTTCACATGAATTTCACCCTCAGCACCTACTGAGGTTGAGGTTTTCACTGAACAAAGAAACAGTGTTCCTCTTAATTTCATGTTTAAAATAAACAAAGTTTATAATACAATTTAGTATTTCAAAAGCAAAATCTGCAAACCCAAACAGACACCCATTATCAGACAAAATGTTGACAACATCTTTATATCTAGCGGCACTGATGAGGGTTAAAAAAACATTTGTAAGAATTAATGAGATTGAAGGTTTAGGCTTTGCAGGTGGTGAAAAAAATATGGATGCTATATGGGGTGGATGGATGGATGGACAAATGGATGCTATGTTATTTCTTAATATAAAGTTTTGTGGAAGAAAAAAAATGTGCTGGATAAACATGTGCAAGCTTCAAGAAAAAACCTTGAATTTCCATTAAAAATCCACAGTTTGTGAGAAGAGTCTTGGATCACTAACCACAGCCTGAGAGTCAGGGTGAATTTCCCACAGAGTGAAAATTTGGGGAGACACGTCTTCTACTGGTGTTAGTCCGTGGGGTTTGATCAAAAATAGAGTCAGCACAGCTGTTTTCCAGGAAGAAGGTTTTAGTGCACATCATACTGACAAGCTTCACAGAGATGCTGGTTTAATTTTCCAGGAAGGCTTGACATTTGTCCAAAATGTCAGAGGTACCAGTGCCAGTTTTAATGAGCACAATTTTATTAATGGTGGTTTTTGATTTGGGCAACATGGCATATTGGTCAAGGCGGCAGCCTGGGGCCGGCCTCAGTAAGTCTTTTTATTGTTCACGTACACATGCTGTCAGTGAGGGAATGAACGACATTCCCTCACTGACACCTTAGTTGTGTCTACAGCGTAATTACTTTAAGAATGTCTGCTCAGACACCAACATCTGATCAAAGTTTGGTTCAAAGCTTCATAATGGGCTCTCTACTGGTTTTATTAATGAATCAAGATTGCATTTCCTGAAAAACCAGAATGATCAATTATGATTTTTCTTCATCTTATGAAGGATTATGTTTTTGATTTTATAAAAACAATCATACAAAATTGATTTTAAAAAACGTAATGAAAAGTAAAGTTTGTTTGACATTGTAGGATCTTAAAGATAACTGGACTAGCGGTGAACCCAGGTGACCATTTGTTATTACTATTCTTGATGCTTCTTTAACTCCTCAGAAGAGCTACAGGCTGATGCCTCCATGACACACCACACTGATGTGATGGTTATTTAATGCAAAACACCTCTGACCAAGTATCTATACTGTGCATATATTTAGGACATTCTTTTTAGGTAGGTTATTGTGCTAAAAGCCATGCACTGTCATTATCTGTAAGCTATAATCATCCAAATTACCATATGTAAAGGAGTTTCAGTGCTTTTTTGAAATGAGTTACTGAAATAAATTCACTTTTTCATGATATTCTAATTTTAGATGTAGTTGTAATGTCTCAGTTTTCTATTTTTATATTGCTTTATTTAGTAAACCTGTTGTTTCACGTACATTTGACTAGGTTTTAGGCTATACCATACAGTTCATTTGAGGATACAGTACAGTATATTCGCTTAATATAAACCCCGAATGCATCTGTTGCATTGATTGATTTATTGATCGAGGTTTAACCATGTATGGATGCATTTTTCTTTTGCGGGCGTGAGCATTCAACCGCGCTAGTTTCTGTGGCGGCAGGCGTGGTGAAAACAGAGAGGTGGGAGGAAAAAAAAAAAAAAAACTTCATGTGCGTCGTCATATGTGAAAGTAGTTCCGGGCACCGAACTAAGGGGGGAGAGTCCCGGATGTTGGCTCGGCTGCCGAGAGAAAGGCGAACGGGAGAAGGCGGAGAAGCCGAGGAGAGGGACGGCGCGGCACTGTAGGCACACCGGGCGAAGATCTCTGCACAGAGGACAACAACTGTCAGGAGCTCTGGGCTCTCCTGAGCTGGCGGGGAAGGACACTCTGTGTTGGACAAGAGGTGGTGGACGGAGCGGGGAGACAGCTGCTGTTAAACTACCGTGAGGATTACCAGAGAGAGCCGCCGTCTCTGCTGCTTTCATCCTGAGTAAGTGAGCTACACGGGAATGGAAGTTGAACTAAAGGCCCACGAAATGGACGACTTTGACGGGGAAGTGAGCTGCAGAGAAGTTCTGAGGGGGTTGGGCCCTTGCTTTAAGCTTGCTACTCAACGTGTCTGGCTGTCCTTGTGGAGATAAATTAGTGTATTATGCCTCCGATATGGCCAGCGAGTGTTTCCCTGCGGTCAGTGAACGTTCACTCCGGAGCCGTTGCTCTAACTCTCCGGAGTTGACAGCTCCTGCGTTAGCCTGCTAGCTCCACCGTGCAACCGGTGACAACTGGCGGGGCAACTTTGACAGCTAAACTAGCCAGCCTCTCTAGGCAGCTAACTCATCCTGAGGGTTGTCGGAGCTTTTCATAGCTAATAGGTGTGCTTTTTTCTTTTTCGTTTGCATTTGGGAGAATTTGGTGACCTATCCCCAAACCCCCCAGCAGCAGCAGCAGCCATCGTTAGCTAGCTGTTTGGTATGTGAGACGTTGTGGGTCCAGCATGGAGTGGGTGAGCCCAGTGTCATTTGGCTTCCCTGCGTGCTCTGGCGCTGTTTGATTCACAGCTGTTGCGGCGTGTTTTCTCCTCTGTCAATCGTCTGTTTTACGGGGCGGCCAGTAAATTCCTCCAGAAAAAATAAAAATGAATAAATGACGAGCCTCTCCTGTAAAAACTGCTCTGCTTTCATGATCGGGTTGCAGGCTGGGCTGCACAATCAACAAGTGTAAAACATGTTTCAGATGAATTTCATGCTACTCATCTGGAGCTTGACTCTGATATGCGTACAAATAGTCTTGATTATAGATTTATTCTACGATAACAACGAAGGATAATCATTTATGTTAATTTTTTACATTTTTGTTCGGTTCAAACAGACTTATTTAACTCATACTTTATGTCAAAATAAACAATTTAATCAAACTTAAAATTAACTTAATATTCACATGATGGTAATATTGTGTTTCTAGGTAAAAAAAAAATATTTTAAAAGCTGGGATTCAGGGCTAATTTTTCCCCTCAATTCGTTGAAGCCTGTCCTAAGTTGTGACCTATATCTAAAAAAAATGTCTTAGATGTTGCCAAAAAGCACTCTTAATTGTCTGATAAATGTTTTTTCCTTGTTATAGGTTATTAAAAATGTTAAAACAAATGATTTTGCTTGAAAGATAAAAAAAAAAAACTTTAGTTGATACCATAAACGGGTATGCAGGTAAAAGAAAAAAGAAATGGTTGCAGCATTCCAAAGTAATTTAGTCTCTCCATTACTTTATGTAAAAAGTTGTGACTCAAAACAAGACATTCGACACAAAAATTACACATTTCCTGATTTGCTCCAGATATTGAAATTGAATTAGGTATTAGTATATATTTTAGAAATATTTTCAGGAGTTGTAAAATACACAATAAAATCTGAACCCCCATCAAAATAAATTTTCAGTGATGCCAAGATCATACATGTTGATTAAGCATTAGGATTGTTAGGGCAAAATTTATATTCTCAAATTTGCAATTAATCTTAGAAAGCTGTGAAGTAGAATCGCAAAACTTGAATGTTCAGCAAATGATTTATAATGCCTGTTCTGCATATAATAAATGTCAAAATAAGTTACATCATCTGTAAGTGCGGCAGAAGAAACTTCAAATGAAACGAAGATAATGTAAACAAATACAACAAATGGAGACTTTGAAAGCTGAAATTGTGGGGTAATTAATTTCCTCGGTTTACATTAAAGGCTCTGAAAAGTTGTGAACCAAATCACAAAAAAATGCTTTCTCCTCAGTATTACCATAAAAAAAAAAACTCAAGCAATTCTTCATGATGTTTTGGCCTTCTGGGTGTAGAATAACCTTAATAGTCTTTACTAAAAGTTCCATCCAGGAACGTTTGCAGAATGTTTTTGTAATTGGTGGCCAGTTGGGGCCCACTAATAATTTTCGGGGAGCCCCTGAAAACCAAAAAGCCGTTGATAATGGAAAACATTACCTCTCTCCTCGATGTGTTTTCACTGGATGGATGACTCTGCTTTTAATTTCTCCATGTTTTGCAGTTTAAAAAAAATCAGCATGGACTTGATATTCTCATGATGTGGCAAGGTTTCACAATATTGAAACAATAATTATTTATTTACTTAAAACAAGAGAAATAGCTAAATAGGGAATATTGGATCAAAACAATGAAGTTATATCTTTTTTTAAGGCTTTATTGGATCTAGTAGCCTTTATTTGATAGTGAATTAACACGAAAGTGGGTAATGAGAGAAGGGGGAAGACATGCGGCAAAGGTCGTCAGGCTGGGACAGTCGTGTCAAGAACTAAGGCCCCTTTACATGGGTTGTGTTTAACCCATGTGCCACCACAGCACCTCAATAAATTCATATCTTAAGTTAATTTTAAAATATTATAGTACTTTTCATAAACATATTTATTTTACAGGATTTTATCAGTTTATACTGTTCTGCTCTTGATAGAGTAAAGCTAGCTGATATTAGTTTAGCGGTCCGGCTGCAGTAGCTTTCGTTTAGCCAGCTGACTGGCAGTCTGCAGCCTGTAGGAACGCTGTTCTATTAGATAAATAAAGTGCAGATTATAATCTAATCATTATCCCCTCTTATGATGACCTTCTTTTACCTGAAAGCGAACCTAAAATGAAATGAATTTCTGCCTGAAATCAAACAGTTCCCCTTCAACAAACTCAACCCTGACAGACCTTCAGCTTCAGCTAACAAAATGCCCACAGCGTTGGGCAGCAGCAACAATCAAAGGTCAGACCTGGTTTGCTTCTTAATCACCCATCCTTTAAATAGCAGACCTACAGTGCTGTCTGGATCCAGGCTATTTGTGCGTGCAGCTGTAGAGGACACATGGTGTTTACGTTATGATGGTCCTCCATCCAGGTACACGCCAGCCAAAAGTAGCTGCACTTTGCTTCCCCCCTGAAAATTAGCCTCACTCATGTGTCACTGCCTTTATAACGTGCATCTGCTACTGCAGGTTCTCTTGATCACATTTGAAGGAGTAATACATGGAGGTTTCACGAAAAAGCTTTTAGTTGCCACATAAAATGGGATTGCAGCTTGGAAAGACTCGCTTTCTTCATGCTTTGGGCCTTTGATGTTGGTCTCGATTCAGAGTTGAAGAGCAAATTCTTATTTTTTTATTATTTTTTTTTTAGCTTAGAATCTGATAGCAAAAGTCTGTTAACACTTACACCATAATCTTTTAATCAGAATTTTTCAGTTTTGATTTAAATGAACTTGGTAAATATTTTGCTTTAGGGGAAGTATATTTACTAGCAATGCATCAATTTGTTTTTATTACTGGCCACTTCTTTTTTATTTTTCAGTAGTTTGGTCTTCCATTACAGGCTTTGACTAATTTTTTATCCTTTTATAGACTAAAAATGGCTGAAATGAGAGAAAATCAATCTAATTATTCAGTATTTAATCTGTGGAATATTGATCAAGAAAGTTTGAGGCCAATTAATAGTGTAAATCTTAGTTTACCCAAGAAAATGGAAGTGCACCAAGCCTCCAACTGGTAAACGGCGGGTCATATACGGACAAATTTTGATTCATCAAATCCCCCCACAACATATATTTTGATGTATTTTTATTTTTTTTAGATTATTTGAAAGATCAGATGCCACTTATGCTTTGATGCAAAAGTGAGGATGACCTTCTTATCCATTAATTTTCTGTTTGATTCAAAAGCATCAAAGAACTTTCAGCATATTTTTGGTAGTTTTTCTGTCTGGACTGGCTTGACCCTTATCCCAATCAGAGACGGGTCTTGAATCCGGCTCAATTATGAATCGAATAAGACTGGTAACTTTTTGTTGATGGAGGTCAGATGACCTTTGTATTACATTCACAATGGCTTCCCATTCGGCTTTCGGGGTTATGCTCTTCAACAGATCAGCGGTTTGTGTACAAGTTGATGTTTTCTACGGTTTTTACTATCAGAAGCAGCTCATTTTGAATTCTGCATGTGGCCCCGTGCTGAGCCGGTCTCACCGAGACGGTTTTTAATTTCTCCCCTTGTTGAAGTGATTATTCAAATGGCCATCCATGAGGTGTACTTATCAGACTCCTGGTGGTCCTCTAGCCCCCGGCAAGTAGAGCGGCCATCAAAGCCCCCCCCCCCTCATCTCCACGCTGTGTAGTTGGATGGCACCCAACAGGCAATCTCTGTTGCAACCTCTATTAGACTGTCACATCTCCCCCTCCCTGAGGCGGGAAACCTTTTGTGCTACACGATTGGCAGATGGCGATTTATTCTCAAGGAGTTCTGATGCTCTCGGTCAAAGGTCTCCGTCTGGTATGTTTTTACAATGACTTATCTTTTGGCTAACCTCACATTGCTTTTGGAGCCTATCCTATATTCTTCTTGTAAAGAGATAAGAAAAAAAAAAACAGGATCTTACTCACCGTTTCATGGCGGGGTTTAAGACTTTCTCAGGGCTCAGACTCACTGTGGAGTTTCTGTCTTGCAGAAGGTGAGGAGGGAATTGCTCAGTCTTCATTAGTGACGCTCTCCATCACTGGAATGCAGATGAGCTATGAAGCCAATTCATCTCCTGGAAATGCCTCCCTGATTCCAATTTGAATCTTGTTTGCAGTGGCATTGTGTGAGCCCACTTCTCCATGTTAAAGAAGTCTCTTTATCTGAGAGATCAGAGGGGGATAATTGCACTTAAGTGAACCTCATTTAGCGCTGGCCAGAGCAATTACTGTAACTGCAGTTCTTCCCACTATTTTTTTTTAATCCTATTTTTTCAGAAGGCAAAGAGTAGCTGTCATTGAGTGTCTGTAGCTGAATAGCATGGCATTGGCATGGCATCATGGGAATGACATGTCCTTTGATGGGTTTTAATTAGTTTTTTTTTTTTCAGATTTTCTTCTCTGTCTGAAGAAAAGTATAATTAGAAATGACAATTAGAAATGCATTATTTTTATTATACAAGGGTGAAAATAAATTACTTTCAAGGTAGTGTAAGG